GGAGTCCTGAACTATCTCGAGAGGTTAAATTGACAAAACTGAAGTTGTCAGACCTAGAACACATGATGAAAAGGGAAGATTCTCTGGAAAAGACAATAATGCTGGGGAAGGTAGAAGGCAGCAAGAAAAGAGGAAGATCAAATACGAGATGGATAGACTCCCTAAAGGAACCCACAGGTTTGAGTTTGTAAGAGCTGAGCAGGGCTGCTGAGGACAGGATGTTCTGGAGAGGACTCGTTCGTAGGGTTGCCATATGAACAGAGACCATAAGGTGATCTCAACAATAACCTCCATCCTATGGAGGTGACTTGACAACACAAAATGACAAGAAAACATATGTGCTTCTCAATATATATATATATATATTTCATGCACATTTCTGCTGCCAAGAAGCTGGGGGGCAGATCAAGTACAGTGTTTATTAGTTGAACTAAAAAGACAGTGTCACCACCCTGCCTCCAAGGCAAGGCAAGCTAAGTCCACACTAGAATTCTCACAGATGTTACACAACCGTTTCCTAGCAGTTTCTTGGAAGATATGTGTCATTGCTGAAAAGTACATTTCCTAGGTTTCACAACATCTTCCACAATTCGTTTTGCTGTACCCCTGGCACTTAAATGTGTAATATGGATAGACAGACAACAAATAATATTCAAAAAAAAAAAAAAGGTCCCTTGGTTGAAAGAACTAAAGCACATGCTCACTCCATTCCACAACAGCTGGATGTTTTTTGGTAAAAATCAATTGTCTGTCTTCTGTTTGCAGCCAGATATTCCTTCAGTAATATTTGAACTAGTAAATGCCTGCTTGTGGTTAATCTTTTCCCCCCCTCAGAAATATCTCCAGCTTTATTTTGCACTTGGTCATGCTTTGGCCTAAGTTCTTGTTGAGGTCAAGTTCTTATGATATCTATTAAAAAAATATGAATCCAGCCCGCTCAACCGTTATTTACACTTACATGAGAAAATTAAAATGGTCTAAAGATTACCTGGTTGTACATGGTTGTAAATGTCAAAAAATTAAAAATAATGTCTGATTCCTGTTTAGAAATCCAGGTGGTCCTGGTTAAGTAATTTCCAGGTTTAAGTAATATATAATCTCTTTGTTGTAGCTCCATTATCGCTCCCTGCCCCACTCATTAATAGTTATTGATGTTGTGTTATGTAATTTGAGATGCTTATTGCTGTTCTTGATCCTCCTAGAGTGCTCAAATTATGGCCTCAAATAAGGGGCTCAAATTAAAAGAAGTGAAATTCAGGCTGAATATCAGGAAAAATTCTTAACTGTTAGAGAAGTACGGCAATGGGACCAACAACCTTGGGAGGTGGTGAGTGCTCCAATGCTGGAGGCATTCAAGGAAAAATTGGACAACTATCTCTCAGATCTTCTTTAGTTTGGATTCCTGCCTTGAGCAGGGGGTTGGACTCGATGGCCTTATAGGCCCCTTCCAACTCAATGATTCTGTGATTCTGTGATCCTATTATTTCTTTATAACGAATGAAAATATATTGTAAGTACACAGGTGTCATGAGCTGTATACTATACTGACAGAAATCCTGTTGTTTTGTTCTACATGCAGAAGACCAATGGGATAACATTCAGCTGCTTCTTCCTGGCAATTAACAAGACACCACTGGAATTCTCAGGGCATGAGCACCTGCAGGCTTGGCACAGGCACAAGACTCCCAGAGAGGATGCTTTAACTGCCTGCTAGGGAGAGCTGAATGTTACGCTGTTTCCCTTCTGCATGTGTAACAAAGCATTGGAACTTCAGACAAGGCCAGATATGTTTAAATGGGCAACATTTAGAAGTATAATAGATCTACCACCATCACCTCCCCATTTTTGTCATTCCTATAAATAGACATATATGTTTGTCATCCATGATAAAGGTAAAGGTTCCCCTTGACAATTTTTGTCCAGTCGTGTCCGACTCTAGGGGGCGGCGCTCATCCCGCTCTTCAAGCCATAGAGCCAGCGTTTGTCCGAAGACAATCTTTCCGTGGTCACATGGCCAGTGTGATTTAGACACGGAACGTAGATAAATAGGTACCATCGCGGTGGGAAGGTAAACAGCGTTCCGTCATCCATGATAGCTAAGATGAAATTGCAGTATCAAGAAGCAATGTATGAGTTGCTGAAATAAAACAACTACAACTGCCTGGTTCTCAATGAGAGAGGCAGAGAGGCATCCGAGCAGCCCTGCTGGATACAGAGTTTTGAACTAGATGGGACTTGGACCTAAACTAGGAGTACAGTTTTGTATTTGTATAAAAAGCTATAAATCAAGGTTGAACCAGTGGGAAATAAAAATCCATGTAGCACAGCTTTACAGAAAAAAGAGCCAGATGACCCTTCATGGTCTAATTAGGAATTGAGGATGAATGCTAATTAATATCCCCTCTTGTCGGCAACAGCTGTCTTATCAGCTCACCAGATATCCTTGTTAGAGATAAGAGTTCTGTGTCTTTCCCCATCCCCATTCTGAAGACTGATGTGCCAGATATAACCATGGCAGTTCAGCCTAAACATCATCTGACTGATCTAAATCAGCTCCTTATGCAAGTTCAAATCTGTGCTTGTTTCACAACTGCTAATATTGATTTGGGCAGTGATGAAGTTCCTCCTTCCTCTTGATTGCTGATGGGTCCCTGCCGCTTTATCTCATACGTGGTAGGAACCAGAGCTGTGGACATTTAAGGGGGGGGGTTTTAAATATATTTCCCATAATCCCCTACCAGCCATGCTTGTTGGATGGTTCTGTAAGCTATCCTCCAAAACCAAACTATTTTGAGGACAAGGTTATATAACAAGCATGTGGATCTTTTTTATTAACTAAAAATATAACATTCTAATTTTGATTTGCAGCTCAATGAATATAAATGCTGCATTAGACACAGCTACCTTTTTTTTTAAGTTGTAATGCACCACGCCAAGACAATGTATGCAAACATTTAGGGATAAAACAAGCTAAATGGTAGCAGACTTTGGTTTAGGTTGCCACTGAATTTGCAGGGAGAGTCTCTGTGTAATTTTGTTTATCCTGCGGAGTGTTTGTACACTTGCACGCATTCAGATCACAACACAAATTGGCCTGTTGTTTTTATTAGCACAGTGGAGAACAAACACCTTATTAATATGAGCCCTATGCTGCTTAGGGAAAAGGTAAACATAGATAGATGCCTTGTGATAATAATGCAAGATCTCAGTGGTAAGTTTACTTAATTGATCATCCACCAGGGCCTCCTCACCAGCCTAGTAGCACCAGATGTTAAGGACCAAGAAACTAATTAGCTTGACACCAACATGTCCAGAAAGGACACATTCTTTCTAGTTCCTAAAACAAAACCTTTTAGCTTAGAGCAGCCTATGCCAACCTGGAGAGCATGATTTCTCATGGATGGTAATTCTTATTTAAGGGCAAGGGAATTCTCATATGATTTGGGGTTGGTTTTCTTTCTGGTCATAGACATGCTATCTGATCTCCCTCCATTCGGAGCACTCCTCTTTCAAAGTCCTATCTCTGCTTTGTCCCTTTCAAATCATGTTCATGTGCTCTCCATATGTGTCAAAAAAAAAGCATATTACTAAAAACTTTTATACTTCAGTCACATCATGACAAGGCATCATTTTTTGGAAAAGACAGTAATCCTGGGAAAGGTTGGAGGCATATAAGAACATTGCAAGATAGTTGGTTTGTTACATGTAGTTACAAAGAAAAACAATTAGGCCTTTGGTGTCTTAAGATGGCCAATTTGGTCTCTCCAATAGAAGTGAATAAGTAAAATATTTTTAAAGCAACAGTAAGGAAAATAATATGTGAAGCACCTCAGCCAAATACAGTCCTTCTTCCTCCTCAGCCGTATCAGAAGTGACTTATGTAACTCCCCATAACTACACTGTGTGTTTGTGAAAATCACAGAGTTTATCATTTCTTGCAATGCAGGTAGGTTTCTCTTTTAGGTAACATCTTTTTTCAATACAAAATAAGCTTCTTCAAGAACAAAGGACAAAGGAAATGATCGGGTTTTATTCCGAGAGAACTCAAAATAGGACCTGAATTTCAAGAATTGAGATTTTTTTTTTCCTTTAGGCTGATCCTTAGCTGGGGCTGATGAAACCTGAAGTTCAAAACTTCTAGACTTCAAAAACAAAGGACGAAGGAAATGATCGGGTTTTATACTGAGAGAACTCAAAACAGGACCTGAATTTCAAGAATTGAGTTTTTTTTTCCTTTAGGCTGATCCTCAGCTGGGGCTGATGAAACCTGAAGTTCAAAACTTCTAGAGGTTCTAGGTTCAAGAAGGGGGGTGTACAGGGATATATTATAATTTTATTTCTACTGTTTGGATTAATTTTATGTTTCAATTTAAATGGTTCTGGTCTGTGATTGCAACCTTAAGCATATTCACACCCATAAGAAAATAACTTGGATTAGACCGAGTGTAAATGTTTTAATGATGACCGTGCCTGTTTTCTCTCTCTAGAATGTTCTTGCTGAATCTGCCGTTTCAAAGTTAGCTTCAGTGCATGGGACAAAATACACATATGGTCCAGGAGCTACAACTATCTGTAAGTATTTTCTAATAATAATGCTGCTTTATAATAATTATCTAACTACAATAAATATCACTGTGAACTTCAGGCACTGTTATTGTTGAGAATCACATAGCGTGTGATGATTCTGCCTATGTAACTGCCTTCCCCGTCCCAAATCAGGGCTTTAATACCGAGCAGAAAATGTGGGAGCTATCTGCAGGCTGGGAAGAACAGAAACAAAATGTCATGCTGAGCTTCCTGTAGCAAAATCATTGCTTTGCCTGGGCAAGTTCTGCTAATTTGCAAACTTCCTTCTATTTGCACTGTATTCCATTTTGTTTTTAGGCTTCAGGTGTGTGAAATGAGTGTATGTGGTCTGCAAAATGCATCTCAGAGAAAGAGTTTGCCCTTTCTTTGGTACATTTGCAACGCTTTACAAATTCCACAGCCAACTGTGCCATATACAGACAATAGACTGAATCACTTGCCCTTATTAACTTGGAGCCAGGGATGTTGCCAAGTCTTTGGATCCAAGTCCCAAGTCTGAGTCCAAGTCTTTGGTACCAAGTCCCAAGTCCAAGTTCCTATTAAAAATAATTCCCCCTCCCCAAAAGAAGAGTGGGGTGGGTTCCAAGTTGCGAGTCAAGTCTGATTCATTGAGAAAAAAAACCTGAATTGAGTCCGAGTCAAGTTACCAGTGCAATTTAAGTCCAGCTTAAGTCCAACTCCTGTGACAGTGAGTCCTCATTCCTGCTTGGACCTAAATTTCCAAGACTGTTAAATACAAAGTGGTTCTCTCAATGTGCATGCAACCTCTGCCTTTCTTCTAAAGGATCCATGGTGGCTTGCAAGACTGAAAAAAACAAAGTTAATAGCTAAAATGATAAATGTTTACATTATTAAAAAGAATTAAACAAATATATTAACACTTACAATAAAAAACAAAATAAAAGCACAAGTAAAACAGCAGAATACAATAATTCCTTTTTTAAAATACCCTTTTAAATCAGTCATTTAAAAGAAAGCATGCCTGAAGACACAGGTCTTCATCTGCTTGTGAAAGGACAGCAAAGAGGGGGCCAACCGGGCCTCCCATGGGAAGGAGTTCCAGAGTCTGGGAGCAGCAACAGAGAAGGCCCTCTCCTGTGTTCCCACAAGCACATCTATGAGGGTGGTGGGAACTGAGATAAAGGTCTTCCCTGATTATCTGAATACCCAGGCAGGCTCATAAATGGAGGCATGATCACTGAGATCGCTTGGACCCAAGCCGTTTAGGGCTTTCTAGGTTAAAACCAGAACTTTGAATTGTACCTGGAAACGGATCATCAGCCAGTGGAGCTCCTGTAAAAGGGGAGTTATGTGTTCCCTGTAAGCAGGGCACCAGTACTATCTTGCTCCAACCCAGCTAAGTCAAATGATAAAATTACAATATGAACTCTCAAGATTTGGTTAGAGTTGTCTTTCCTCTAGTTTCAAAAATGTTTTCCCCTCCTTATCTTTGCAGATCCAGCTGCTGGTGGCTCAGATGACTGGGCATATGATCAAGGCATAAAGTATTCTTTCACCTTTGAACTTCGTGACAAAGGCCGATACGGTTTTCTTCTTCCTGAATCTCAGATACAGCCAACCTGTGAAGAGACCACAGTTGCTGTTAAATATATTGCCAGCTATGTTCTTGATCACCTGTACTAAAACAGCATTCCAGACCTATTAAATAAAGGTTTGAACTGCAAATGACCTTATTTGTTTCTTCGGTCATAGGCTATTTTGGGTCTTCAAAGATTCTGAAAACTCCCATCACCTTCCTGTCTATGATTCACTGAGAAGTTCTTGTTGCACTTCAGTAGCCCAGTGTCACAAAGCAGAATATCTATAGGAGAGACGGAAAGCATGGGGTGACTAGCATTAGGACTTCATCAAGTGTTTTTTGAGTTCTCCGACAAGGCTTATTCATATATACCACAGATAACCAACTCTGAGTGGACTGAAAGTCTTATATTTAGTAGCAAGACTTTTTCCTAATAGCTCTGAGCTGAATCCTGCTTGCTGGAAATTTCTTAGAGATCATCACAGCAGACATGTAGGTGTGATGCATATCTTGAGAAAAGAAGACTGAGGGGAGATATAATAGTTCTCTTGTCACACAGAGGTGTAAAATCTGTTCTCAGTCATCCCAGAGTGCAGGACATGTAATAATGGGCTCAAGTTAAAGGAAGTCAAGATTTCATTTGGATATCAGGAAAAACTTCCTTACTATTAGAGCAGTACTAATAAGAACAGCTGTGTCCCTGTGCTACTCCACATCAGAATATACTAGTGTCATATGCTCCAAATCAGCACATTCCAAACAAGTGGATATAGCTCTTAATGAATCACACAGAATTATTACTGACTGCCTGAAACATATACACATTGAAACAGTCTATTACTTGGCTGGCATTGCCTCTCCAAAGGTACATGCTAGCAAACAATGAACAAAATAGAAAGAGGATTGGAAATAATTAACAAAATAAGGTAATACAGTACCAGACCCATCCACTTCATGGACACCAAGCCCCTAGATGACAGCTAAGGAAAAGTTTTTTGCACACATCTCAAGATCTAAATATTAAACCTGAAGAGGCTAGGCTAAACTTAGTACTGTATGTCCCACCAGGAAAAGACTCTAGCTGGACCATCTTGTCCCACCAGGAAAGTCTTTTAATTGAAGTAAAGTAGTAAGAAGGGAGAAGATGGAGAGACATTCTCTCCCCTACTTGGGCTGAGCTACTCAGCAAGAACCCAGACTTCTCATGCCTTATCATAGCACATTCATTTTGAGATTTGGGACTGGAGATCTCAATACAATGTGAGAAAGAGAGGTTTAGATTCTTTCCTATGTGCTGTTTCCACTTAGATTGTGGATTGTAGTTACTACCGTTATACCAGATATCCTATATGACCCCTCATGGACTCCCATTTAGCTTTGGCCACAACTACACTTCAGTGTCACCGAAGCTACCAACATGAATTTGACCCAACTCTGGAAGGCAGTGAAAGACAGGAAGGCCTGGCGTGCTCTGGTCCATGGGGTCACAAAGAGTCAGACATGACTAAACAACAAACACTTTCAGAAATAGCTAAAGTCTCTTTACAACAACTTTGGTAATTTGGCAACATGCAATGTTGGTTTAGGTATCTGGGTTGGGAGTTCAGTTCCCCACTGTACTTCCTTGACAAGAGCCAGACTTGGTGACCCAAGGGGTCCCATCCAGCTCTGCAGTTCCAAGATTATTGTTGTTGTTAAGTCCTGGTGCAGTTTTTAAAAGTGCACATAGGTACCATTTTTAAATTGCACCAGAGTTTCTCTTCCAGCCAGCCAATGCTGGGAACCTTCCTGGCTACTGACTGTGCTAGGGTCAGGACTTGTCATGGAACAAAAATTGAGCTGCTGAAGATGTCCTTCAGACAAGGACAGCATCATTGTCCAGTGAGTGCCATGGTTGGCTGATGACTTAGTTTTTGTTGGGTAATGGAGCATCACCAGCACCATGGATGCCTTCCTATGGATCATCAAGTCCAGCCCCTGTCAAGGAGGCATAGTGGGGAATTGAACTCCCAACCTCTGCCTCCACAGCCAGAGACCTAAAGCACTGAGCTATCCAGCATTAATGTTCCAGCAGCTCCTTTTTTCCTACATGGCAAGCAGACAAGGCTGCCCCAACCCTACTATCAATAGAAGCCTCCCAGCGCTGGCTCACCTGTGGGTCAGGGAGTATTTCACGTCTTGCTTTAATGTGAGGATGACAGCAAGACATGTGAAACAGGCCGTTTCATGCCTGTTTTCAGATAACCCACAGTAAAAAAAAACTTACTGTGGGTTATCTGAAATATGTTGTTCTTGCCTTTATCTTGTAATCACTGCTGCAGGGTCATAAGGTTGGGAAGATGGATATTTTCTTGTTAATCTTGAATGTCAAGAGATAAATACTAGCAAAATCAGATCCTGGTGTTTAACAATTTGAGGCTTATCAAAATATTAACATAAAGTGAAGATAAATGTGAGGCTTTGCCTACTGTGCCAGCTGTCCAGGTCATAACTGTGATCTGGATGTTCCTAATGGTTCTTTAAATCAGATGTAGAAATAGTAACCTCATTTCAAACCGAAGATGCCTTTCAAAAGACCTGTCCTCTGGCAGCCCGTAATTGTCATCAATTGTGGGAAGGTAGACATTTTCTTGTCAGTCTTGTCAGTCACCGGTGTGACTTAAGTGAGTCTCACAACTTGAATCCCCATCCTTGCTATCTAATTATTATTTATTAGGTTAAAGCCATTGCCAGTAGAGGGAAGTATTATAGTTCTGCCCCTCTGTTTGTTGCTTTGTCACTCTTCTATCTGTGGCGGGAGACAAAGGAGAAGAGAGAATTTCCATTATCTGTGGGGGTCCCTTGAGGCCCTGGAAAATTGAGCTTCTGACTCAGGTAGAGAGATCCGTTGGTTAGCAAAGCTCTCTCTCATCAGAACTGTTGTTCTCTGCACATAGGGAACAGCTGAAATGAAGACAGAAGCAGACGGACCAGAGCATTTTCCTCTACCATCCCTGAGTTTAACTCGGCATGTTGCACCTGAAAGATAGCTATTCAAAGAAGAAACCTGAAATAATCTTTCTAATATTCCCACTATCCACAGTCAGCAAGTTTTAATATAAGGATTCATTTCAATGTGATTTTCCCACCTACATTTGTGATGGTGCAACCCTTTGGAAGAAGCTCAGCCCTACCATTAATCAATGCGAGGAAGCTATTTCAGACTGCAAATTTTAAATGTCATGAAAGGGCTGCAAATTGTTAGTCATTTAGATTGTGACGTTATATTTTTACAGCTAAAGACAAGGGCAGATAGCTGATGGATTTTCTGCCCCTCCAGCAAATAACTCAGCTAGACTAAACACTTCTAAGTTGAGTCAGTGAGAAATGCCATTTGCTACTCTGCGTCATGGAGCAAAATGTCTTGATTTCCCTGTGCTTCAGAAGGATGTATCACATGCTCTTTCCTATTAATTCTGAGGTACAGTGGTGCCTCGCATAGTGAGGTTAATCCGTTCCGGATTAACCTTCGCTATGCGAAACCATCGCTCAGCAGAACAGAAAAACCCATTTTTTTCCAATGGGCCCTAAACTTACCGTTGAGCGAAGCTTCTCCATAGGGGCGGCCATTTTCGGGCCCTCGCAAAGCGAAGGCGCAGCGGGAAAAGTTGCAGCGGCCATTTTGGAACCGCCGATCAGCTGTTTTCCCCGCTTCGTTGTGCGAAAATCGCTAAGCGAATCGCTTAGCGATCGTCTCACAGTGAAAAAACGCCATAGGGGCCATCGCTGAGCGAACGCTCCAGAGATGGCCCGGACCCCCTCGCTATGCGAATTCATTGCTCAACGGAGCGATCGCTAAGCGAGGCACCACTGTACATGTTTCCATTCATAAATGTTACCATGTTGGAACAAAGAAATATTTATCAAATATAAACAGCACACATTTATATTTGCTCAAGATTTCCAACTGTTTTTTTCTTTACAAATACATATTTTGAAGTTGTAATAGGATGTGCAAGGATGTCATTAACGACTGGTATATAAGAGTCTCTTGTGTACTTGAAGAATTCTAAAAGATGCAGGAACACAACAATTGTGACGGATTAACTTTTATTTATAATATTTGTGCAATAAATAAGTTTCTCCACCAGATGGCAGTCGCACAACACTGGATTGTGTTTGACAATCTGCAAGAGAATGGTGGAGCAGTTACCGGTATTTATACATGTGGCAACAAAAGCCAGCTTTTAAACTTAAAGACAAACAAAACAGGTTGGATGTGTCTATTCATGCCTGCAGAAATATCAGCCCTACTTGTTGCTGAAGAATTGATGCTTTTGAATTGTGGTGCTGGAGGAGACTCTTGACAGTCCCTGGACTGCAAGGAGAACAAACCTATCAATTCTAAAGGAAATCAACCCTGAGTGCTCACTGGAAGGACAGATCCTGAAGCTGAGGCTCCAATACTTTGGCCATCTCATGAGAAGAGAAGACTTCCCCGGAAAAGACCCTCATGTTGGGAAAGTGTAAAGGCAAGAGGAGAAGGGGACGACAGAGGACGAGATGGTTGGACAGTGTCATCGAAGCAACCAGAATGAATTTGACCCAACTCCGGGAGGCAGTGGAAGACAGGAGGGCCTGGCGTGCTCTGGTCCATGGGGTCACGAAGAGTCAGACACGACTTAACGATTAAAAACAACATCTGATCTCCCTTCCACATCACACTCTAACAATGATAGCCTTCTGTTGCATGGATTCTTTCTTCCCTAGAGAGAGGGAAACCACCCAATGAAAGGGCCAGAGGGAGTCACATGATTACTTGTGAAGCAGATATATACAGGATAGGGACAGCCTTTATGGCCAAAGAGAAACATGGGGCTCATTATCTTGTTTTGGGGGTTCCTTGTGGCCCCTCAAATGGTTGTTCTCTCTTGGGATTTTGACAGGTAAAAGCTTCTCATTAGGGTAAACCTCTCAAGGACAAATGTTACAATAAACCATATGTTGAGCTTGCTAGGCTAGAAAAGTACAAATTCAAGCCTACCAGAAAATATTTGGAGGGGGGTCATCACTAGTCCAGGAAAGCAACCTTTCCAAGATTTGTATTATCTTATGTGAGCAAAATGAACTGAAAAGGGACTGTGTTCCTAGTCCGTAACCTCAAAGAACTTTTCACCAAAAAGTGGGGGAATAATAGAAGGTTGCTTATTTTAATATCAGGATTCTTACTGTTCAATCTTGTTTCCTTTTTATTGTAGTGACAAAGTGTTTCGAGTGAAACTTCAGAATGAAAACCAAGTGAGCTTCCTAAAGGACCTGGTGTCGACACTAAAGGTAAGAGTCTTCCACTGTGAAATTTTCCTCCCACAAATATTTCAAGCATGCCAGTAGGCAGCATTCCTACAGGATAGAGAGACAAGTGACGAGACAATGTCTACAACAATGTTACATGTGTGTTGCATCTATGCAAATGTGCAAAAAGCAAAGATGGAAAAGTTAGAGTATGATCAGATGGCAAGAAAGGTGATTATCTGATTGCACCAGAAAGGTTTACTGTGTTAGGAGTGATCTCCCTTAAAGCGAGCCTTCTGCCCATTGGGGAATCGCTCCAACCCGGCCCCCAAAAGTAGTAATAGTTTCAATTTTAACTTAAGTTCGATCACAACAAACATACCAGAAAGAAATGGAAAAATTGCAGTAAGGTTCTGATTCATTTAAAGATGCTTCTGGATTTCACGATCTCACTGTCTTCTGACAGTCACGTTTACACAGCCCAGTCCCCTCAATATGTATAGACTGTACATTCTCACTGGTTGACTGACGAAGACACCCATTTAGATATAAGGGGATAATTGTGAACAGACATGTACAGAACACTGGACAGCACTATAAGACAGCAAAACATGTTTTTACCTTTTAAAAAGGAAGACCTTCATTTCTACACCATGCAGAAGATATAGGTTTTGTCTGGAACAAGTGCAGATCCTTTGATAGAGTTCAGGCAACCTAGGGTTCATCATGGTTCTTTTGATGCCTTTTTGGGACAAAACAAAATCCTCGTAACTGTCACACACAGGGAGAAAATTATTATTTTTTATCTGTGCATACAAGTATCTCTTTCTCTCAACCACTTTTCTCTCTCACTGTCGCAATCTCTCCCTCTTTCACTCTCCACTGACTACTTAGAAAAAAAAACTCTTCAAATCTCTCTGAGGTCCACTCCTCCTTAGTTAGATAATTTAAAATCCCAGTTTTAGGGATACTGTTTGCTTTTTGTTGTTGCTGTACTCTGTACATGCTCAAGGATGAATTTACATATTCCAGAAATGAGACACAGATCTGTATGATGAGCTGAAATTTATCCCAAGGAGTGTTGAGGAGAAACTGGAAACAAATACATGGGAGAACACACATAGTTAAGTTAGTAGTAGATACAGGGCATGCTCCCCTGAGAAACATACAAGTTTTTGTTTGGGAGAAGTTATTTTGGGGGGCTATAGCTACCAGAATGATGAGCTGAAATTCATCCCAAGGAGTTAAACTAGTGTTGAAGAGAAACTGGAAACAAATACTTTGTTCTATTTGTCTATTTAACACTTGATGCAAATCCTAAAGCATTATGATGAAGAATGCAAGACAAATCAAATGACTTGCATTTAAAACCTACATTAACTTTGCTTTGTTCATATGAGAAACATTTAGCAGTTACCACTAACACGATTAAATTTAACATATTAGTGCTGCCCTTTGGTAAAAGGTGTATATACTTTTATACAATAATTTAGAATTTCTACCCACCTCACACCTCACTTTGTCAGCCATTCATAGCCCTACCGTGGATACAAATGTTTGCAGTAGAATTTATATTCTGTCCAATGCATTGAGATTCTTACCAATTCATGCCTTTAGGCCCACTCATTATTAATTACAAATCACCACTTTTTTTTCTCCCCCCCCCCTTTTTTTTCCTTTTGTTTTGTTTTGGGGTTTTTTGGTACAGCTTGACATCTGGTATCCTGATTCAGTTCACCATCTTGTTGCTGGGACAAAAGTGGATTTCCATGTTAGATCCAATCAAACAAGTTTTGTCCAGATGATGCTGGAGAGGAATAGAACACAATACAAGTATGTATGTTATATTTTAAGTTTATGAGTCGTGTAGATTTGGTGAGATGTAATGAACTTTGGCACTTTCTATGAATAAAAACCCAGCAATTTAACTAAAAATGTGTAATCCAAACACAAATGAACTAATACAGAAAAATACTGAGCTCAGATATTATATTAATATATATGCCTAGCATAAACCTCTTTCTATGTACTTTTTTCTTTTCTCCTCTCTTTTCCCTTTCTTTCTTTTGCACTTGCCATTAAATTTTTAAAACTCAGATTTTCAATTGTATCTTCTGTGCTCATAATAAATGTTGTCAGGCTCCAGCTTTTAAGCCATGTTACCCTTCTGCTCGTGATCTTACAGGAACAAATATACAGGTTTGGATGGAAATTCATTGTTTGTTCCAATGAAGTTTTTTAAAAATGACATAAATGAAATTAAATCTATAAACTTATAATTGGTGTGAATTTAGCTACTGATTTAATCAAAATCTAGCTTATGTCCAACAAATATAATGCAGTAGAAGCCTGAAATCTATGCATAAATAATTTTTGCCTTCTAACCCATTGTACTGAGCTAAATTACTACATCTATAGTATAATTTGGGAGGAGGGGCAATCTCTGGACATCTGATGATCACAGAGACCTATCTTTGTACCTTGGAATGTAACAGCTACCCCCATGCTCTCAAAATTCTTATAAAATTCTTACAAAACCACAGTGTTTGAGGACATGGAGCTTTCTAGATGTTTCTGGACTGCAGCAACTCCCAGTATTCATCATCATTGGCTATGTTAGTACGGGTGATGGGAATTATAATCCAGCAGCATCTGTAGTGCTACCTGTTCCCCTACCCTCTTCTACATTTTGCATTATTTATTTATTTATTTATTTATTTAAAAAAGTTTTACCCAACCTTTGTCCTTAAAAAGGACCAAAGGCAGCTGACATCATTAAAAGCAATATTTAAAGCTGAAAACAATGAGTATAGAACAGCGGTTTACATCATTAAAAGACAATATTAAAGCTAAAACCATAAGTATACCGATATTAAAGCACCCTGAGAGATGGTAAGCCCAGGTAGGACTAAAGACCCAGTTATAGCAGTAATGCATAACAACGCATCTAAAAGTCATACTCGTGTAGCCAGTCACTGAGCGAAAGCTTGCCTAAAGAGAAAGATTGTTGCCTGCTTGCAGAAAGACAGCAAAGATGGGGCCACTCTGGCTTCCTATGGGAGGGAGTTCCAGAGTCTGGGAGCAGCAACAGAGAAGTTCCTCTCCTGTGTCCCCCATCAGATGCACTTGGGAAGGTGGTGAGACTGCGAGAAAGGACTCTGCTGACAATCTTAAAACCTCAGCCAGTTCATAATGGGAGATACCGTCTTTGAGACTTTGACCCAGCTCATTTAGTGTTTTATAGATTAAAACCAGCCCTTTGAATTCTGCTTGGAAAAGGACTGACTGCCAGTGGAGCTACTATAACAGGGAGGCTATGTGATTCCTGTAACCAGCCCCAGTCAGCAATCTGGTTGCTGCATTTTGGACCTGCTGAAGTTTCCTGACACTTTCTATCGGCAGCCCCACAAAGAGTGTGTTACAGTAATCCACCTGGGAAGTAACTAGATTATGTGCCACAGTGGCCAGATCAGATCTCTCCAGAAATTGACGTAGCTGGCACACTAGTTTTAATTGTAAAAATGAACTTCTGTCCACCACCGAAACCTGGGCAGCCAGGCTCAGAGATGAACCCAGGAGCACCCCCAAACTGTGCAGCTGTATTTTCAAAGAGAGGGTAACCTCATCCAGTACAGGCTGCATCCCTCTTCCTTGACCTGTCTTTTGACTGACCAGAATCACCTTATCAGAAAACAGGAGGGTCCTGCATCGGTGCACTTTCAAGCAAAATTAAAACAGAAGAAAATGATAGAGATGGATAGTAACAAGAAAGAAATGTAAACAAGCATATTTACGTACATAAGTATATTGGAGAGGGTAACCTCGTCCAGTACAGGCTGCATCCCTCTTCCTTGACCTGTCTTTTGACTGACCAGAATCACCTTATCAGAAAACAGGAGGGTCCTGCATCGGTGCACTTTCAAGCAAAATTAAAACAGAAGAAAATGATAGAGATGGATAGTAACAAGAAAGAAATGTAAACAAGCATATTTACGTACATAAGTATATTTAGGGCAAAGATTAAGGAGTTAAGACCAAAGAGTAGTGTAACAACAATGTACTGAGTAGGGTTAAATTTAGGATCTAATTGTGATAATGTTCTTTCTTTGCCCCAGAATTTTATTGCACAATCTGCAGGAAGAGATTGAAAAGCAATTTGATGGAGGGAGACATTTCCTCAAGCAGCACAGCTACACAAAATACAATGACTGGGAAACGGTAATGTATGCTAAACATAGGGCCACGGTGAGGGAAGGTGTCTTAAGCGACATAGATGATAGAGACGGTAGATCGTATCTTAATTGTGAATATATCAGCATCTCCTTATTGTCTACTTAGATTGTGGCATGGACTGAAAGAATGGCTAAAAATTACCCCAAACTCATCTCCCGGACAGAGATTGGAAAGACCTATGAGGATCGCCCCATATACCTTCTTAAGGTAGAAGTCTTGGAATCATTCAACTGCTATTCATAATTCCATATTTCTCATCTAGGGTAAAATCCTCTTTCTCAAGTTACAAATAATAACTTGTGTGGTGTCATCATCAGGGACCATACTGTCTTTGGGACATTAATAGCTTTTTTTCTCATACCCACACCCAGGTTTTGGGGATCCATAGGGATGAGTGGTGGCAATTTTCAGGCACTAAAGAATTCTCTCTCCCATTCCACAGCTCCTAAAGTCGTCCCCAGGTTGATGGGAAGGCTTTAAGGATCTCTGGAAACTTGAGGGCGTATAAAAAGATGTTTTTAGTGTCCCTATAAAGGCTTTGGCATGGCCACAGAAGATGAAATCATGCAAATTACAGTGGTGCCTCGCTTAATGAGTGCACCGTATAACGATGAAATCGCATAGCGATGCGGTTTCCACGATTGCTAATGCGATCGCTTACTGATCATCCAAAATGGCCGCCGGAACAGCCGAAATGACCACTGTATTAGCTTTAAATTCTGAAGCAGGATTTCAGCCATTATGAAATAAACAGATTCTTGGGTTCTTGAACTCAGGTAGCTACAGCAAGCAAACTAGACTTAAGTATGATGGAGAAAATTACTAAAAGAGCCATTTTCACTTGCTTTCTTAGAGCGTTAGATAGTTATTTGATGATGCAAGGAATAGCCTAAAGCTGTTCAGTGTAGGGCCCCAAACAATGATTTCCCAAGAAGACTATGGGTCCTCTCTACTGAGCCTTCACTGTAATGAAAGTTCATTTACAGCATATTTCACTATGTACATTTCTAGTTGGTAGAAAAGGGCTAATAGTTTCATTAACTGTTAGAGAATGTAAAGGTCTAATTTCAATTGGAGCGGTCAAATTTTCAATAGTTAAGTTGACATTGAATTATCACGTATGTTTAAGTTAGGAGACTGCAATGAAGCATTACCTGAAATCTTAGCCACCTCCTACAGGCTATGGGATCAAGCCTGCAAGATTAGGAGGCCTGGTCATAGATGAATATTGACTGTGCAGGGAAATAAGTAAAAGCCATTGCATAGGAAGGGATGGTCGGTGCCCAATGTGAGTTCAAAGGGGAATCCCGAAGAAGATCAGCTCTACCTCCTGCAGGACCTCCTGATATGGGCTGCAGGCATGAACAAAGCCTTCCACCTTCCCAATCCTGATCAAATGAGAAATTCTGAATAACTTGTCTCACTCACTCATTGAAAAGTCAGGCCCAGGATTGGCGCACATATGGCTTCCCCCTTCTTCCTCTCTTCTGGGAGAAAGACTCTGGGTGCAACCTTTGCTTCTCAGACTCTACCACCTTCAGCACAGAGAAGACACAAAGTCTAACAGAGAGCCAGTGTGCAGCAGGGGAAAATTTAGATGGAGAGCCAGAGTACAGTGGGGGGACATTTTAGCCATCAGTGTTGCACCAGTCTTCTTCTGTGTGATAAGATAACACAAATGGACCAGCACTTTAAGTTTGAAATTATTTCGAAACAAGTTGCATTTAAACAATATGTAACCTGAGTTACCATCCCATTATCACACACACACACACCCAAATCCTGAGATGACTAAATCTATTGTTTCTAATGTTGCTTAGTTGGCATCTTTGCACTATAATGAAATAATACCACTATGGTATAAATGAGCCAGTTATTATGCAAATGAATATGATAAGAAAGTTTAAAGAATTAGTATTTCCCCGTAACAGGTTGGGAAGGAGAGTGGCAGAAAGAAGGCCATCTTTATGGACTGTGGCATTCATGCACGTGAGTGGATCTCACCAGCCTTCTGTCAATGGTTTGTAAAACAGGTTGGTTATGATATATTTTATACATATATACCAGCATAAGCAAACACAAGCACTTTATAATCATCATTATCATCTGAAAGGCTCAAGTCCAGTTTATGTCAAGGAGGCACAATGGAGAACTGAATTCCCAATGTCTGGCTCCACTACCAGATATCTAAACCACTGAACTATCCAGCAGTTATTTATTGACCAGTGTGTTTAACTTCATAACAAATGACCTGAATTTAGGGATGAGTAGATAGGTGGCCAAATTCTCTGAGGATACAAGTTATTTAGGGCAGTTCTAAAGTGGCAGAGAGGATAAACTGTGGTGCTGATGCTAAAGCTCTGCTCATTATCCAGGTTCAATCCCAGGTAGGCAGCTTGGGGTTTACTCGGCCTTCCATCCTTCTGAGGTTGGTAAAATACCCAGCTCACCAAGAGGGGCAATAATTAAATTGTAAACTGCCCAGGGAGCCTTATATACTATGGCTCATCTTACAAGCAGCATGCTTTGCTTTTAAGCTGAAGCCCAATTTTAGAGAGCCCCAACAGGAGGAATTGCTTTTAAGATGACACATGCTGTTTAGCATAATCAAAGGTAAATCGGTTGATCTTGGAGTAAAGCTCATCTCACCTTCCCATGTATGCTGAAGAAATCCGAGTTGACTGTGACTGACCAAGAGAGGCGTTTTGCGGGGGACAATGTGAGAAGAACTGTCAAGAAAACCCCACTTTCTACTGGGTTCTCCTTTAAAAAGCACAATTTAAATGTTAGTGTACACACAAGATACATGTCCTCATGGACCATTCTGCCAGGGGAGCTTTTCTGCTGCCCTGCCAGAAGTCCATGTATTTGGGAGCAGATGTGGAATCGATTCATTGGAATTGATTCTGTATATGTGAAATACACATGCACTTTTAAAAAAAAGAAATCCCCGCTACCAGATAGCAGGATTAAAAACAAAAATACCTCTAATTTTTCTCCTTATCCCTTTCCATTCTCCCTTTCACACCACCAGCACCTGCCTCCTTACCTGCTCTCACTTGCATGTCCCCCCCTTGCTCAATCACCTACCTGCCCCTCAGGCAACTGCCTCCTTGCCTTCCCACCATCACCCCTTCCCCCCTTTCCCTCTCATCCTTCTCCTGCTTTCTTTCCATTCTCCCTAAAGTGCATGACATCGGCAGCAGCTCCCTGATTGTATCCAATGATACTGTTCTGTGGAGCATTGCAGCCAAGAACCCAGGCTTCAGTCCCTTCCTCCTTCTCCCCCACCCCTTCTTTTTCTCCCAGATTAATCTTTGGTGACCCTCCACTAGCCTTTCACACATGAATCCTGACATATTATGGGAGACAAAGGGACCAGTGAGAAAAGATTCTTATCGATGAAACACCCCACTTAAAAGCACTGTTTTATTTATTGCAAACCACCTTGCAACCTTCAGGCAAAGGCCAAAAATAAATTATTATTATTATTATTATTA